TGTGGCGGATTCGGAGTTTGGATCCGACGGCGAAGAGCAGGAGGACGATGGCAACAAGGAGAATGAGCCCCTGGCGGCAGCTGTGGCGACTGGCGCCTCCGCTGTCGTCCGCCGCCGCCCAGGCCGTAGCCACAATGTCCAGGTTGTTGACCGCATCAGCCTCAAGCGCAACAACAGCAACATGTCGTCGGCGTCGGCGTCCTCGGCGGCATCGACGTCGTCTTCGTCGGCATCGAGCACGACGATGGGCGGCGGCGGTGTTTCTCTGGGCCTGGGCCCGACAGGCTTCCGCGTGCCGGCTCTGTTGCGCCGGGCCACGACCAACTCGTTGGTATCGAATGGGAGCGCCAGCAGCAGCAGCTCGAGCAACAACAGCACAAGCAGCGACAAGAACAACAGCTACAACAGTGCCGGCAAGCTGGGCGACAAGGACGACGGCAAGATCAAGAAGAACGCGAGCAAAATGTCGGGCATCCACTACTTTGCACGGGAGAATGAGCGGCGGGCAGCCATTGCGGCGAGCGACAAGCGGCGCCAGGCCAAGAAGGCCAAGAACGCCGAGGGCCGTGCCCGGGCGGTGGGCGGCCTGTTTGGCGCGGGCAAGTTTGAGTAAGAAGTAAGAAATGGGAGATGTGGGTATCTACGCGGCGCTTTACACGGCGTTCCTGTTGTTATTTTTGTGTACGACATGCTGGGAACGGGCAGGACAATTTGGTACGGCGTTGGCATGGATTTGGTTTTCTTCTATACCTTTTGTGCTTCTGTGGCATCTTATTAAAATGCTGCATACACAGAGAAACAAAAGTGAAATATGAGCAGTGAAAGAGCCATTGGCAATCAAATAAGCATATGCGCATACGGGCATATGGCCAGAAGGGCATATGTGCATATTGACAAGACGACCGCGTCTGGACCGCTCGGGCCAAAGGCAAAGGGTGAGCAGAAAGGAGAAGGAGAACATACAGTCGAAACGAGATGCCGTGCTGGACGCGTCGTCATCGCACTTTATCAGACATGCATTGGATATTGGATACCCTCCATCTCCTTCCGTGGCTGTCCCGCGTAGCATGCCGTCTGCTTCCCACCCCACGCTGTCTCTGTTTGGCCATGCCAGCGGCGAGCGAATGTTTGTATGCCTATTTGTGATGTTTGGCACTGTCACGTAAGTAGGAATGTCACGTGTATTTCGGTAGATTAGCTAAGCAAGGCTAGACATGCGTGCGCCCAGGACTCCGCCATGTTCGTAAAGAGCCTGGAAAACCTAGAAACACGAGTGGCATACGACAATTTCGCCCATCTGCTCGTCTTGCTCTTTTTACGTTTTCGTTTATGTCGTACGTGTTTGGGTGGTCCATGTCGATCGCGTTTTGCCTCCGAATGTGGCCAAGTCCAGGTACGAACCATCTATATTACAGGGTATTCCGGGGTGTTACAGGGGGCAGGAAAGGGCAAAAGGCAAATGGGTAAAAGTGCTAAAGTGAAAAAGTGCAAAGCACAACATACTCAAGCACGACCAATACTCGCCCGTCTTTGTTTACAAAGTAGACGTCGTACTCCATCGACGCCCCGGGGCCATAAATAAACAGGAACCAGGGACAGGAATACGAAGCCGGCCGACGCCGATCGGATCTTGCATATTGACATTCTGAATATGTGACGTACAATTTGTATGCGGACAATGGACGACGGACGAGGACCAAATACAAAGTACAGACCACACGTCGGCCCGATGGCTCTCTGGTGCTGTGCTTTGGTGTTGAAGAACGTGCCCACCAGCTCCATCTACACAGGAGAAACTAGAAACCGACAACGCCACAAATGCCAACGCGTTCCCAAGTTCCCAATGACGCCCGCCGAGGCTACACCTACATCCCTGTCGCCACGGTCCACCTCGAGCAACTATTCTTAGTAGTCCTCGTTGTTCTTGTTGTTGTGCGACGTCCGTCCTGCAAGAACGCCGGACAGCACGGAGACTAAATCAGGGGCTCTCCACAGAAATCGACGCCATCGGATGGTGGGCCGATTTGCTCAGCTGGTTTGCTTCTTGAGGGGCGTTTTGCGTCCTTGCGTTTCTTTTTGATATCTTACGTTCTTTTCTGACCGCCGTGGACTACTGTGTATTTACACGTTGGCTGCCACACTGGCTCTGCCAAACGCACAGCCTATTTCAACCGCCAAAGTACGTGCGTATTCCAGATCCGTACATCGTATAGTCCAGGTACACCCGACTCAACGTGCTGTCTGTCGTGTCTTGCGTGCCTTTTCATTTGTCTGCCGGCTGTAACTGCGGGTGTAAAAATATGGCAAAGGTCGGCAAAAACCAGGCTTACGTATACCGAGTATAATGCCAAATCGGAATACAAGAAGAATGTTGAAATACGACTGAGACTATATTCCCTCAGTATTAGCCAAGCCTGGAGCAGCCGGCATACAGTACTGCCGTAGCCGTATTGGCTGCTGTACGACGTGCAGTATGCGGTGTCAGTCACAACGCCAAATCGGAGTATTACTCGTATTGTTCGTGAAACGCCCGTCGAACAAACTACTGTGTACGCCGTAAATATGAGAACAGCCACCCAACAGACCCCGCTGGACCATTCATTTCGTTTTTGCCCTTTGGGCGTCTTTGCTTGCCGATGTGCCTTGGCTGGGTTTAGGGAACAGTTTGTGCCAACACCATCCTCTTTTCGTCCTGGCGTTTCGTCCCTTTTCTGCGCAACCGCACGAACCACCAATTTCCTTTCTGGGTGTCATTGTCCAGGCATGCGCGGATTGCCTTTTGGGTCCTCACTGCGAATCCTTCATGGTTCCAGGCCTACGGACTCTCTTTTGGTGAGGCTGAAGGACCGTGTTGAGGCTATCAACCAGTCTCAGTCAGCCTCGGCCAACCGTTTTGCTCTCAGCAGAAACAAGACAAAATCAAATGAAAGCCAGCAAATCCAGCAAATCCAACAAATCCAACAAACGCAAATGTCCACCCTTGTCGTCCAGAGAACCTGTGAGCCTACCCCCGCTGCAGCTGCACACATTCTGCATGCATCCTCATCCTCATCCCCGTCGTACCCTGTAGGTCTCCTGTGCTTCATCTCAGCCGCAGAGAACACGACATTGTCCGTCAGCCAGAAACGCCCATGCTTCTTTTCTCTTCTTGCTCCTCAACTCTCACCAAGACTCTCTGCGTCCCTCTCATTGGCATTCTCCTCTCGTCTCATCTCATCCCGTCTCATTTTGTCTTACCTCTGTTGATTCTTACTTGCTTCTATTGATCCTTACTTCTTCCTTTTCTTCCCGTCTCCTACTGCACTGTACATCTGTCATCTGTCATCCGCATCTGCATCCTTTCGTGTCTTTAACCTTGTTCGTCGTAAATCCCACGCAACCCTGTCACGGCACCCCACTCATCTGCACTCCGCCCCCCCTCGTCACGCTCGCCTCATTGTTTGCTGTGGCCTGGTTGCTGCTTGCCACTCCGCACGTCTTCGCACGTCTTTTGCGCTCCCGTGCCGACCTGTCCACAGATTTTTTTGTGCTACGTACGTCGCAATACCGTAATACCCGGCTCGGCCAAAAAGCCAGAAGCCAAAAAGCCAAAAAGCCATGCACTGCTCCATATGAAACCCAATTTTCGCTCGGTTTGACCTGCCGAACCTGCGGAGGACGTCGTAAATTGGGTTTTATTGTCGTCGTTATGAACAAGTTTGAGATTTCTGCGTTTTGGCCAACGCTTTATCGATAATGCCCCAGGTGCAACGTGCGACGTAGACGGGACGCCATATTTGGACGCCGTATTTGGACGCCATCGTTGAAAGCCATAATATAATTGTTGTTCACGTCACGTCTTCCGTATATACACAATCTTGGCGACACTTCACCTTTTTTTCTTTTTCTTTTTGCTCCTTCTTTCTCATCTCGCGACGTCTATATAACATCGGTGTGGATCTCCCGGCTTCATCTCGTAACCCTCTCCCTCTCGCATCTCCTCGTTTCCCACACTCTTGGTTCGTTTACCTCCTTTGCGTCCATCCCTGACGAGCCTGTTTCTTGCTCCACCTCGTCATCTCCCGTCGTCCATCACACCACCAAGTCGGCCCTCGATCGTTTTAGTAACAAAACGGCTTTACAACATTCCAGTCAGCCTTCCAAGATCCAACGGCCAAGGCAAACAAGAGGGGTCCTCCTTTTTTGGCGCTGGATCGACTATCAACTAGACAGGACAGGGACGCCTGCAGTAGGCTGAAAACGAGCGGCCTAGTCACGAATACGTAGTTACTACGAAGCCCGAAACCAGTCTACACCAAACAAGCCAAGCACACCCAAATTCACTACAGCAGGAGAGGGAGAGTCCAAACAGACCCAGACAGACCGAACAGACCAAACAGACCAAACAGACCAAACAGACCAAACAGCGTCTCACCGCTCTCCGGTCGCGTGCTCGTATTTTGCAGTGCAGCCCTTGAGCAGCCCTGCAAAGCACGTTTTCGTTTTCGTTTCGATTCGGCCTTGCTTGGCCTGCTTCTTTTTCTGTTCTTTCTTTTCTGCTGCAGCTCACTCTCCTCTCTCTTCTTTTTCACTTTTTTCTTTTTTACTTTCTCAACTTCGACCCGTGTTCTCTTTTATTACTCTCCTCCCAACGCTCTCCTTGATGCTTTTGCTTGCTCACCCTTCTTCCCCGCATGACGATGATCAATTCCCCTTGGGCAGCCGTTTGTTGCATTTCTTTGGTTTCAGCGGCTGTTGTCCGGTAAAAAGGAAGCACAAAACTACGACATATATTCAAGAGGAACTCCAAAGCAGAGCAAAACCACCAACGCACGTCAACAACGACACTTGGTCCTCAGCCGTAGACACCCAACATCACACGACACTGAGAAGTCGAGCCCAACAAGAGGATATCTTTTTGTGCCACGCAACCAAGCGGGACACTCCACGTCACGTTCTCTTCCACCTAAACCCCGGCCCGCTGAGACTTCACTCTGCCCCCGCACGGCCCCCCACGCCTCATGGAGTTTGCAGACGCCGCCGTCCTGGCGGGCCATGGCTACCCAGGACCGGCCCCGGTGACGACAGGAGACAACGCCGCAGTCGATCCAACAGCACCACGGACAACAGCAAGCAAGCTTGCCGACACACCAGCCATTGACGACGAAGACCTCTTTCTGGGCGACGAGGGCGACCATGATAACGACAATGACGACAACGACAACCATGTTGAGGCCGATGACGAGGAAGACGAAGACGAAGACGATGACGATGGCGACGATGACTTTGACGAGGACTACTTTAGCTCCACCTACCGCCCGCTCTCCAACCTGCCCACGCCACCGCCTTCGAGCCACACCTCGTCGCTCGCTCAGAGTCCCTATGCGGGGGCGCACGCCCATGGACATGCCCATGGATATGCCCACGGATATGCCCACGGACACGCCCACGGTCCATCGACAGCCCCCGACGCGTCAGATAGCCCCCTGCTCGGCCCTGCCGTCCACCTCGTCAACTTGCTCCCGCCCGCCGCGTCACTGGCCACGCCCTCGGTCGCCCTCGTCCAGGCCATGCTGGCCCGCGCAGCGCTGCCGCTGGACACCGTCGCCCTGGCCGTGTGTATTTTGGATTCGCTCGACAGCCGTTTTGCCCGCGCCTGGCGGCTGACGTGTCCGCTGACGCCGCCGGCGGCGCCCCCAACGGCGCCCCCGACGGCGTTGTCGTCCTCCACGCGGTCCCCGCCGCCGTCGCTGGCCGTCCTCGAAAAAACGGCACACCCTGCCCTCCCCGCTGACGCCGACCTTTCCCACGTCCACACCAACGCCCGCCTCGCCCACTTCGCCCGCTTTGCTCACCTCGGACGGTGTCCGCGGCGGCCTCCACATCGACGCCGTCTTCCCCGAAGTGATTGTCCTGGCCGCACTCGTGATTGCCGCCAAGTTTACCGACGACGGCTTTGTCAGCCAGCAGCCGGCGCAGGCCTACTGCACGGCGTGGGGCGCGACGCCGCCGCCTCGACCATCGTCGATGTCGTCGTCATTGTCGCCGTCATCGTCGCCGTCGCCCGGGGGCGCATCGTCGTCGTCCCCGCCTGGCCCCTGCCTGTGGACCGGCGCGCAGCTCGCCGCGACCGAGCGCTGCATCATGCAGAACCTCGGCTACCGGATCCTGCCGCTGCTCGACGCAGACCTGCTGGCGGACGCCAAGGCGGACATGCGGCGCGCGGGCGCGCACGCCGTGCGGGCCAGGCGGGCGTCGGCTGTGCCGCTGTCGTCGGCCGCGGGCTCGCCATCGTCCGCCAAGCGGGGAACGCCCACCAAAAAGATGGAGATGGCCCTCATGACACCCCCCGCAGAGGCAGGGGCAGAGGCAGGGGTGGACGCGAAGCACGGCGCCGCGAACGAGACCGCGAACGAGACCGACAGAGACGAGAGCCGAGATGCGGTCGTGGACACGAGCAAGGTCATCTCGCTCAACTTCCCGAGCAACATGCGGCGGCATGTCTCGTCGCGGTCCGAGACTCTGGGGCGGTACTCTGGCTATGAGCACTGAGTTGAAAAAAGCGATGGGACTTCCACGTCCCAATGATTACATCCTGGCGTTGTTCCCTTTTCTCACCCAATACTGCAGTAGTTCTTCTGATTTCGGGTTGTTTCCTGTTTGGCGGCATTTCGGCGTTTCTCACTCAGCCACTCACCTGTTTTCCTTGTCCCCTTTACCCGTAACCTTCATATCACCTTTTGCAAGCGACCATGGGTGGTTCTGGCGTTTGTGTTTTGTGTTTTGTGTTTCCTTGATTTGTTTCGTCTAGTCTGGCCATCTTGTCGTATCGTCATTGCCGTACGATAATACCCCCGTTCGCATGTATGCTTTTCCATCTGAGAGGAATGATATTGTTTACTGGTTCGTTCGTAATGACCTTGTTCGATCTCTGTCGATGTCTGTGAGTCTTGTACCGATGCCATGTGCGTCTCGCGAGGAACGTCGTGATAGTTAAGGTGAGGTCAAAGCGGCACGACACCCGTACATAGACTCTCGCGATCTCGTAGGGACGACACACATCGTTCATACAAGGTCAGTGGTGTCCGCGGTACCCAGAAGAGGGGGCAGATTTGTGCAGGTCGACTGACCAAGACGAAGACGAAGATTCTGAAAAATAAAATCCTAAAAGACAAAAGTCCGCGTGATTGTCCAGATTAGGAGATATGTGCAGTCACGTGCTCCGTACCGTTTTGGGCGAACCTTCTGTAAACGGCAATTGGCGATTCAGTCGGCTATCAAAGGAAAGAGCGGGCTTTACGTTTTGTAACACAAAGGGCAGTCCAACGGGCATGTTGACTCACCACCACTTTTAGCTGCCATATTGGCTTTACAGTCGTCGTTCGTTGCGACAATTTCCACTCCTTTGCCTTTTACGTCCAACATCCCACGCAACGCACAGCACCCCACGGCATCGGTCCAATCGGCCACTAGTTAACGTCCGGGCGCTTGTCCCGCATGCGACACCACCTCTCGCCACCCTCGCCTGGTTTGCAAAAGAGTATCACGAGCGCCGTTCTTCGAGTTGCTCAAACATTTGCGCGGTCACTGCATACGACGAGAAACACAATGGCTCTCTATCCACCGTCGCCAGCCCCGCCTGTGGCCGGCTCGTCCAAGAACGAGAAACTGATCTGTACGTGCCGTTCCCGCGAGCCTCGCCGCGGGGCCTCACCCGACTTGGTCACGTCCATGTACTAAACAGCTCCTGTAGTCGCCCCCTCGCCCGACACGCCGCTGTCCTCCCCGGCCGGCCAGGCAGCCATTGCCGCCCGCGCCGCCGCCCACACGGCCAAGGTGGCCGCCGGCGTCCCCACCACCGGTGACTCGTCGGGCACGTCGACGCCCGGCCGCGCGGGCCAGTTCTTGCAGCACGAGCACCGCGGCGGCCTGCGGCAGCGCGACCTCGACGCCGCGTCGCCCATTGCGCAGTTCCACGCGTGGTTTGCCGAGGCCAAGGCGCTCGGCGGCATTGCGCACCCCGAGACGTGCACGCTGTCGACGGCGCGCTTCCCGTCGGGCCGCGTGAGCGCGCGCATGGTCTACCTCAAGGAGCTGGACCACCAGGGCTTTGTCCTGTACAGCAACTTTGGCACGTCGCGCAAGGCCGACGACCTCGCGAGCAACCCATGGGCCTCGCTCACGTTTTGGTGGGAGGCACAGGAGCGGCAGGTGCGCGTCGAGGGCCGCGCGAACCGACTGTCCGCCGCCGAGTCGCAGGTCTACTTTGACACGCGCGTGCGGGGGTCGCGCATTGGCGCGTGGGCGTCGCGGCAGTCGGCGACGCTGGTGCCCAAGGGCGAGGCAGACCCGGAGGACGACGGGCGCGCGCAGCTGGAAGAGTGGGTGGCTGAGGCGGAGCAGCGGTTCGGCAAGGGCGACGCTGAAAACGAAGACAACGAAGACAACGACCCGCCGATCCCAGTCCCCGAGTTCTGGGGCGGCCTGCGCATTGTGCCGGAGCGGGTCGAGTTCTGGCAGGGCCGGCAGAACCGGCTGCACGACCGGTTCGTGTATGACCGGCAAGTGGGCAGCGAGGCGGACGGAACGGAAGCGTGGACGATCAAGCGGCTGAGTCCATAGACCAAGGGGGTAGACCAGGGGGAAACATTCAACAACGCATTAGACATGGCAGCATGATTGACAGAGGATTACAGAGAACAGAGCATAGAACACAGAGCACACCACAAACAAATCACAGAACACATTACTATTATACATGAGCACATAATCTATAAATACACGTCGTGAATCCACCCAAATACATAAAACACAATACACGCCCAAACGCCAAACACACGCAACGTACGCAACGTACGGAGTGCAGAACCCATAGAACACACGACAGATATAGAACGCCCCAGTCATGAAATCCATGGCACGCATGCCATGACGAAAACACCGTTCACCCAATGCAGAGGCTCCGAGCCCGTGTAAGTCTACGCTCCTGTTTGCGTAATTTATGTAGCTAGGAGATGAAGTGACGCAACATGCAGCAGAAAGCAGAAGCAGAAAGCAGAAAGCAAAAAAAGAAAACACACGGCCGACCAATCTCGAGAAATGCAAAGAAGCAAAGAAATAAAAAACTTTTTAACTTTCTTCTCACTCTTTTCCACGTCGACACAGAAGCAGCCTTGTCTCTCCGAAACGTCTGTTCTCCCACCTTACGTCGACATGACCAAGGCAAGCAGGGCCATGCGGCAGTACAGACCATAGCGCATCTAAAACAGTTAGTGACAGTTCTCGTTTTATTAGTCTCTTCCACCTCCCCCCCAACAAGGGAAGCACTCACCTGCCGGAAGTAGGCCGCCCGCTGGTCAAAGTCGACCTCCTCGGCAATCTCCTCGTTGCGCGGCAGCGGGTGCAGCACAATCATGTTGCTCTTGGCGTGCTTGAGCGTCGCATTGTCCACGCGGTACGCGTTCTTGACCTGCTCGTAGGCCGCCTCGCTCGGGAACCGCTCCTTTTGCACGCGCGTGCAGTACAGCACGTCGCTGCGCGCCACAATCTCCGGCGTCAGCGCCTGCGCCTCGCGCAGCAGCTGGCCGCGCGCCTTGAGCTCGTCGCGCAGCACCGCCGGCAGCTCCAGGCCGGCCGGGCTGACCAGCTGCACCTGCACGTGGTAGTGCCGCAGCAGGTGCACCAGCGAGTGCACGGGGCGGCCGTAGCGCAGGTCGCCCAGGAACGTAATCGTCAGGCCCTGCACGGTGCCGAGCTCCTCGCGGATCGTAAACAGGTCCAGGAACGCCTGCGTCGGGTGCTCGCGGCTGCCGTTGCCGCCGTTGATGACGGGCACGGGGCTGAACCGCCGCGCCACGTCGACGCTGCGCTCGTCGGGGTGCCGCAGCACCACGGCGTCGCCGTACTGGCCCAGCGTGCGCAGCGTGTCCTGCAGCGACTCGCCCTTTTGCACCGACGAGTGCGACGTCGCCACGGCCACCGTGCGGCCGCCGAGCCGCTGCATGGCCGCGTCAAACGACGCCGACGTGCGCGTCGACGGCTCGTAGAAGAGCGTGCACAGCACCCGGCCCCGCAGCACGTCCAGCACGCCCTCGCGCTGCACGCCGAGGCGCATCTCCTGCGCCACCGTGAAGAGCAGGTGCAGGTCCGCGCGCTCGTAGTCGAGCACCGACAGCACCGGCTTGTTCTTGAACGACGACGGCTGCGACAGCAGCGACGGCAGCGCGGAGCGCACGGCCAGTGACGTCGTCGCGGGTGCGGGAAGCAGCGCGTAGGCCGCGTCCTCGTTCACGGCGGCCAGGGCGCCCGCCGAGGGCGTGACCGCGGCGCTGCCAAGCAGCCCGCCCGACGCCGCCGACGACAGAGTGCCACCACCCGCCGAGGTGTCGAGGCCGACGCGCGTGCGCAGCGCACTGGAGAGCAGCGCCGACTGGCGACGGCCACTGCCATGCGGGCTGTCGGGGGTCGTCTCGGTCTGCTGCTGCTGCTGCTGCGCCTTGATCTGGGGCGACACGGGCGTCTGCGGCACCACCGGCATGGCGTTGTGCGTCGACATGTCCTTGCCGTAGCCCGGCAGCGGCAGCACCTCGCCGTCGAGGCAGACGGCCACGTCCTGGAACGTCACGCGCTGCACGGCGCTGCGCATGGTGCGGCCGGCAAACGGCGACGCGCTGGTGGCGGGGACCGTGTAGGGGCGGTTGAGCTCGATCTCGACGGCCGTGCCGACCTGGTCGTGCAGCTCAAAGATGCGCACCGGGTTGTCGTGCAGGCGCGCACGCAGGTCGTCGAGCGTCAGGCGGCCCTCGGCGACGGACGTGAACAGCAGCGGCAGGGCGTCGGCGATGCCGGCTGCGACGTCGACTTGGACGTCGTCACCACCACCACCACCACCACCAGCCGACGGGCTCTGCAGCCAGTGCGCCAGCTGGTACGGCAGGCTGCCGACCGAAAACACGTCAATCACGGCAATGTGCTCCCACAGCGCCGCCTGGTCGTCGGCCGTCGGCAGCAGCGTGCAGCCCGGGTAGTCGGTCTGCGACAGGTACAGCGCGTAGATGGACACGTCGCACGTCACCTGCAGGCCCTTCTCCTTGCTGAGCGCAATGAGGCGCACGTCGTCGCGCGACGTCACGTTGGTCACGTGGATCCGGCGGTTGTGCAGGCTGGCCAGCAGCAGCAGCGACGCCAGGTCCGTCGTCTTGGCGTCCGTCACAATCGGCTTGTGCGTCGGCCACGCCTCAAAGTGCGCCGTCACCGCCGCCACCTTGCTGATGTTGTCCGACAGGTGGTTGAAGGGGATGAAGAGCGAGCCCACCTCCGACACCACCTGGCTGATCTGGCTGGCGTTGGTCGACGTCGCCGTCACCGACAGGTTGAAGTCGCAGTACGCGCTGGCGCGCCGCCCGTTCTGCTGTGCCAGCTTGAGCGTGCGCACGTCCGTGATCGCGCCGTCCACGCCCAGCGGCATCACGCGCACCATGCTGAAGCCGGCGGCAATCGACGCCTTCGTCACCGCCTGCAGGTCGGTGCTGCCGCCGGCGGCCACGAGACCGGGCACGAACGCGGCGACATTGACGAGGCCAGGCAGCACGACGGTGCGGTGGCTGGTGGTGTAGTCGCGGATGTTGACCTCGAGGTCGTAGTGGCGAGCCATGGCCTCGATGAGGATCTTGGCGTTCTTGACGTTGGTCACGAGCGGGATCTGGTAGTCGACGGCCATGCGCCGCGTGCGGTAGCCCTTGCTCATAAAGTTGGCTGGCCGGCGGTACTTGTTGTTCGACGGCAGGTTGATGTAGAGGTCGATCATGTTCTTGGCCAGGTGCTGCGTCAGCGAGAACTCGCCCTTCTGGGCCTTGGACGACGACGTCTCGTCGCCGCTGTTGTCGTCCTCCTTGCCAAACGCCTCGAGGTACTGCACCGGGATGCCGTGCTCCTGCAGGTAGTCCGCGGTGCCGGCCGTCGCAAACAGCTTGTAGCCCAGCTGCTGCAGCTTGGCCACCGACGGCAGCATCTCCTTCTTGTCCTTGTATGAGCCGATGGACAGCAGCACGTTGTTGCGCGGCATCTTGAAGCCCGTCGACACCAGCGCCTTGAGGTACGCCTCGTACTTGTCCGCGCCAAAGCACGCCACCTCGCCCGTCGACGCCATCTCGACGCCCAGGATCGGGTCCGCGCCCGACAGCCGCGAGAAGGAGAACTGCGGCACCTTGACACCCACGGTGCCGGGCGCCAGCTCGAGCGGCGGGTACTCCTCGAACGGCAGGTTCATGATGGCGCGCGTGGCCATCTCGATCAGGTCGACGCCCGTCACCTTGGACACGAAGGGGAAGGAGCGCGACGCGCGCACATTGCACTCAATGACCTTGATGTCGTTGTCCTTGGCAATGAACTGGATGTTGAAGGGGCCCGTGATGTTGAGCGCGGCGCCAATCTTGCGCGTGGCCTCCTCGATGCGCTTGATGGTCGTGCGCTCCAGGTCCTGCGGCGGCTGGATCAGCGTCGCGTCGCCCGAGTGCACGCCGGCGTTCTCGACGTGCTCCGAGATGAAGTGGCCCACCAGCACGCCGTCCTTGGCCACGGCGTCCATTTCAATCTCTTTGGCGTTCTCAATGTACTTGGTGATCACCACCGGGTGCTCGCGCGACACTTCGGCTGCCTGCTGGAGGTACGACGCCAGGTCCGCCTCCGAGTACACCGTGTTCATCGCCGCGCCCGACAGCACGTACGAGGGCCGCACCAGCACCGGGTACGACACCTTGTCGCAGAAGGCCTTGGCGTCCTCAAACGACGTCAGCTCCTTCCACGTCGGCTGGTCCACGTCGATGCGGTCCAGCATGCGCGAGAACTTGTACCGGTTCTCGGCCGTGTCGATCATCTCGGGGGACGTGCCCAGCACCTTGGCACCGGCGCGGAGCAGGGGCAGGGCGATCATGTTGGGTGTCTGGCCACTCATGGCACCGAGAATGCCGGCCGACTGCTCCAGCTCGTAGATGTCCATGACCGTCTCGAGGTCGATGTTTGTAAAGTAGAGTCGGTCCGCTTCATCGTAATCGGTGGACAGAGTTTCCGGGTTCGTCTTGAGGGCGTGTCAGCAATTTCATTCGTACAAAGAGAGGCCGTAGACGTGTGTAACTGTGTAAAGAGACAAGACAAAAGCCAAAAGTGAAGTTGGTGATGTGGGTTGATGGTCCTACTGTCCAGGTCGCGAGGCTGTAAATGGCAACCAGGGCCGAGGACAGGTGGGATGTTGCCGAATTGGGACGGATACAACTGGTGTTTACCAAAGTTGCATAAAGAGAAGGAGCGTTCAGGCACTACCCAAACAATGCAAGAGAACGGCAGGTGGCGTGACGGAGGAAAGAACGATGCATGTGTGAAAGGAAAGGGCGACAAGGGGGAGAGAGAAAGCAGCAAGCTGCCCTGCCTCCATACTCACATTCACCATGATGGTCTTCAAACCAGCAGCACGCAGCGTGCGAATGGCGCGCACCGAGCACCAATCGAACTCGACGGACGAGCCGATGCGGTAGACACCGGAGCCCAGGACCATGACGCCCTTGTCGTCAAAGGCCAGGTCGTGCGTGGAGGCGCTGTACGTCAGGTACAGGTAGTTGGTAAAGGCG